GCTTTGAAGACCAAGAGAAACGGGGGCTAGGACCCAGGAGGGTCCCAGTCTCCACGCCCCCAACTCCTTTCCTCCACACTCCCCCACCTGCCCAGCTTCCACAGCTCTCCTAGGGCAGGAACATCAGTGGTTCTAAAATTTCCGAATGAAAACCATTCGTGAAGTCGTGCGTGGGAAATGAAATGCCAGCACATGGGCGTCAGTGACTGTGAAGAAATCATGGCATCTACACTCACCTGGCCTTCCTTTGGTTTGCCTCATTAATCAGCTCCCCAGGTCATCGGGGTGTCTCGCCTCAGGCTCACAGGTCTGGTTTTTGTATAATACACATTTCCCCCAGTTTTTATTTCATCTGCTTTTTTCAAGCAGCCTTTCCATTATTTCTGAACATTTGAGTTTGAAAAAAAAATGTAAATTACAGACGCCTGTGGATTGACGTAATGTGAAAAGAAGGCAGCTGTTTTCCCTCCCTCCAAACAGGGGACATAGTTTTTAAAACTAATAAACCCCTAAACCTCACGAAGCCTATTTCAACCTTTTAAAATGGCCATTTTCAGAATGGAAAAGGGAAAAGAAAAACGTGTTTGGGGCAATGTCTTGGCAGGAGGGGGAAAGGTCCCAGCCTGTACTGATGGAGTCTGTCTCCTTTCTCAGGTCTAAGGTCTCAGACCATGGAGAGCCTGGGAGGGGAAGGTCACAACGTGGGGATGTGTCTCAGAAGACCTGGTAGGGAGGAGAGACTGGACAGACACAGGAGATGGGAATTTCCTGGCATAGGGGGGTCTGGAGAAGGTGGGAGCAAAGGGACCAAGAGGGACATAGGAGGGATCAGTTTTGACAACCAGGCTGGGACAGTGTGTGGGGGGGTGGCACTGGTAGGAGCAGAGGGTCTGGATATTAGCCAAGAAGCATACTGAACACTGTCTGCCTTCTCTAGAAACAGGAATTGAATGGGGGGGAGATCGGGGAGTTGGGGATTAGGGGCAGTGGGGAGAGCTGAAATTTCACTGTGAGGAGCTCCTGGGAGATAAGGAAAGCCACATGTAAAGACTGACCTGACCTCTAATGAGTGCAAGACTCTCTCATTTTTCAATACCCACAGAGCAGGATCCCTAGGGTTACTCTTCTCTTCCCAGAGGGCTCTGGCTGACTGTCTACTCGAGCATTGGGTCCTGTTCTGCCTACAGCCCTGAACTAAATGCCCGGCAGAGACTCATAGACGGCACCTAGGAATATTTATGGAATTAATAAATGAACTAATATGTAAATGGATCCATGAATGAATGGAATTAATATCCTCTAAGCGGCTATATTCCTTCTGGGAGGAAGTATGGGTACATCTTCTCCATCAACACCAAAATTACACCCCCAAAAAACAAGGCTGCATGGACAGTTGCACAAATACAATTTTTTTTCTTCCAAAGTGGCTAGTCATTCAGAGAGCAAAATATTCTAGCCATCGTTGAGAATTTTCTTTCTTGCTCTATCTCCCTCTTCTGGGTTAAACAGGTTGGGATTTGAAAATCAGAGAAGGCAGAAGGGACAGCAGAGTCGATTTGGAAGTGTTCAGCAAGAGGCTAGTGTGAGACACCCTGTGTTTTCCACGTGGGTTGTCGATTCATGCTATTTAGAAGCCTCAGAAGGCAGGCAGCCCACCCAGCCACCTGAGGGATGGTGCCAGCTCTCCCAATTTCTGGGGTTGAAACAGGTCTTTGGAGTTTCTCAACTTGCCTCCCAGGGTCAAGAGAGATTCCCAGCAAATCAGCCAGCGCTTTCCCTCTATGAGGTTTGAAATTAATTTCTGGTTTGAAAATAATTTCTCCAGTGCTTCCACCTCCCAATCCATTGAGGAAGCTTTAAAATGTCTCAGATGTAGCCCTTCCCTACCACACCCACATCAAAGGACACTGCTAGGGAACTCCTCCTTCTAGGCAGTTGCTATGGAATAGAAGGGGTGGATGAAGATGGAGATCATGTGAACAGAAAGAGAATCCTCAAGTCCACCAGTGTCCCTTCCTGGGCTGAAGCTAGAGAGATGTGGATGGGTTGCCAGTCTTGCCCCAGAAGGGTGTCTTCAGCACAGAAGTTCTCCCACTTTAGACACAGCTGATTCTCACAGCCAATTGGCCTGGAGGTCAATTCCTCCCAGTGATTCTACAACAACCAAGGCACCAAGAGTGCACCAAGAGTGTCCACCCCAGGTAACTGGGGAGGCTGAGCTACTGGGCCCTACAGGACACCTGGCGCACAGGGCCACTCTATCAACACAGGGAAGCTGCCAAAATGCGGAGACAAAGAAACAGGTCACAAATGGCAGAAATGGAGGAAAGCAAACGATTGGATATAGAGTTTAAGGCCACGGTTATAAGGTTTTTCAAGAATTTTATGGAAACCGCCGATAAATTTAATGAATCCCTCAATAAGTATAGGGAGACCATGGAGGACATGAAAAAGGACCAACTAGAAATTAAGCATACACTGACTGAAATAAAGAATAATTTACAGAGATCCAGCAGCAGACAAGAGGATCCCAAGAATCAAGTCAAAGATTTGAAATACAAAGAAACAAAAAATACCCAACCGAAAAAGAAAAAAGAAAAGAGATTCCAAAAATATGAAGATAGTGTAAGGAACCTCTGGGACAACTTCAAGCGTACCAACATCAGAATTATAGGGGTACCAGAAGGAGAGAGAGGGCAAGATATTGAAAACCTTTTTGAAGAAATAATGACAGAAAACTTCCCCTACCTGGTGAAAGAAATGGACTTACAAGTCCAGGAAGCGCAGAGAACCCCAAACAAAAGGAATCCAAGGAGGACCACACCAAGACACATCATAATTAAAATGCCAAGAGCAAAAGATAAAGAGAGAATCCTAAAAGCAGCAAGAGAAAGACAGTCAGTTACCTACAAGGGAGTACCCATACGACTGTCAGCTGATTTCTCAACAGAAACCATGCAGGCCAGAAGAGACTGGCAAGAAATATTCAAAGTGATGAATAGCAAGAACCTGCAACCAAGATTACTTTATCCAGCAAAGCTATCATTCAGAATAGAAGGTCAGATAAAGAGCTTCACGGATAAGAAAAAGCTAAAGGAGTTCATCACCACCAAACCAGCATTATATGAAATGCTGAAAGGTATTCTTTAAGAAGAGGAAGAAGAAAAAGGAACTCTTACCATTTGCCACAGCATGGATGGAACTTGAGAGCGGATAAATACCACAGGATCTCACTCATTTGTGGAATATAATGAACAACATAAGCTGATGAACAAGGACTGATCCAGAGACGGAGAGGTATTGATTGGACTGTCGGGACTTGGAGGGAAGGTAGGGGAGGGTGGGGGTAAGGGGGAAAGATCAACCAAAGGACTCAGATGCAAGCATATAGGCCTAATCAATGGACATGGACAACGGGGAGGTGAGGGCATGAGCGGGGGTGGGGGGGGTGGGGGGTAGAGGGTAACGTGGGGACAAGGACACATATGTAATATCTTAATCAATAAAAAATATATATTAAAAAAAAAAAAAGACAAATGTCAGTGTTCCTTCCCATTTGAACTGGCTTAAAAAAAAAAAAAAAACCAGCATGTGTTTCAGCGTTGCCATTCTACTCTGGCTTGTAATTTAGGGATCAGAGGATAAGGCTTCAGACAGCTAAGAATCTTGAGTTAAAATCTTCAAGCTAAAAGTAAAATCACTTTAAAAAAAATACAACTGCTTATCAACTTTATTCACCTCCTATTTAGAAGTGAAAAATGCTCCAGGGGGAAGTTTCCTGAGTAAAAGCCAGAATTTACTGTGTATTTCTCACAAACAGGGCTCCCTGGTCTGTTCTGCGAGAAATGAAACCCATAAGACCCACCCAGCAAGCCTCTTGGGCAAAAAGGAGTCTAAGCCAGAGTTGAAAATCCACTTCAGGACTTTTTTACTGCTGGGGTGGGTTGGAGAGCTGTCAATGAGCAGGAAAATAACACATCTGGGATATGGCTCTGTCCCCTTGTTGGCTGGTATAACTCAACATGTACGTTAGATCTTTCTTTTTTTTAATGGCCAAGATTTATCTGGCTTCTATTAATTTTTTTTAAGTCCAGGGTGAATATGATTGTTAAGTTCTATAGGTTTACATTTGTGTAAATTAAAAGCCATATTTCACTACTGGGCAGATCTCCTGCTTGCCTTAAAAATAAAACGTGGGAAAACTAAGCACTGCAATCCAAGACATGGGTTACCCAACTCACCCAGAAGATACTAAAAGACAGGGGTCTTGTGATTTTCTTCACTAAAGCCATATCCCCTTTGTGCCTTTATAAAACCCGGTTCTGGAAAAGTCAGCGCCAAGATGCTCATACTGAAAGTAGACTTTTGGATTAATTTAGTCAATCATGTTCTGACCGTGGCAACAAGAGACTATTATAGGCCTTATTTTGCAGCAAGCAAATTGGTTTGTAAAATTGATATAGCCATATTAACTCCTAAAGGGATTTGGGAAGAAAGTGAGTAGACCCTTCTGGAGACAGTGATCTCTTTCTTTTTTCTTTCTTTCTTTTTTTTTTTTTTTTTTTTTTAGTCGAAGACTGACATCAGTTTTGACCAGAAGGGAATGTCTTTTTCATGGAAGCCCAGACTTGGCATTTGCTCCTAAGTTAAAAGCAAGAGCAATGTAATAAATGTTTGGTAACAACCCCCCACATACTTAGATTTATTGGCTAGTTAAATCTTTAATGGTTAAAGTTAAAAACCTTTTATTTCAATGGCCTGGGGATTTGCACAGCTGGAAGGTTGTATTTTAATATATTCAAATTGGAATGGGAAAACCAAAGTGATCAGGACTTTCTTTCTTGGATACTTCCAAGCTGCTAGGGAGCAGACACAGCCTTGCCCCAGGTCCTCCCTCCTCATGCCAAGCCAAGTTCCAAAGGGAAGAGGAGAAAGGGAGAAGGAAGCATGATTCAGGGGGAAATTTGGGTGGTTCCTTTCCTACTTTCACTCACCTGCTCTTATTCTCCACTCAAGTCGTAGAGAAATCAAGGAACATCTATAGTCAGGTTCTGCCACCCAAGTGATGCACCTTGATCGGGTCATGCCTTGCCAGCTCCACACTTCTGGAAACTCCCTAGTTGGGTGACCTGGATTGGAAAGGTGGTGTCAAACAGTGGTAAAGGGGCTGGGGGTGACTGAGTTGACAGGAGTTGATAATGTGATGAAGGGAGATGGGGGAGAATGAAAGACTATTAAGGCATAACGGAAGTACAGAATTTGAGGTGACAAGGGGTAGTGCTCATGCCATCTAACCAAATGCTTACTCTGTTCCAAGTAATTTCAAATAGCTTTATGTGAATTATTTCATGGATTCTCCAATTTGGTATTTTACTCTCCCTTTAAACCAGCGGTTCTCAACCTGTGGGTCGCGACCCCTTTGGCGGTCGAACGACCCTTTCAAAGGGGTCGCCTAAGACCATCCTGCATATCAGATATTTACATTACAATTCTTAACAGTAGCAACATTACAGTTATGAAGTAGCAACAAAAATAATTTTATGGTTGGGTCACAACATGAGGAGCTGTATTTAAAGGGCCAGAAGGTTAAGAACCACTGCAAACTAAGATATATAAAGGTAAGCAACTTGCCCAAGCCCATGAGGTTAAAAAGAGATGAAGCCAAGATTCAAAACCACGTAATCTGACTCAAGAGCCTACAGTCTTTTTTTAAAAAAAAAAAATACATTTTTACTGGTTTCAGAGAGGAAGGGAGAGTGAGAAAGAGATAGAAATATCAATGATAAAGAGAATCATTGATTGGCTGCCTCCTGCACACCCCACACTGGGGATTGAGCCTGAAACCTGGGCATATGCCCTGACCAAGAATCAAACCATAACCTCCTGGTTCATAGGTCGACGCTCAACCACTGAGCCACACCAGCCAAGCAGAGCCATCAGTCTTAACGGGGCCTTCAAAGAATTGGGAATGGGAGTACTCAATGTCTTGGAAATTAATGGATGAGTGTTACAGTCACTGGTGAAGGAAAACTGCAAGGACATCTCCATCACTCTCAGGAAACATGAAAATGAGGAAATTCTCCATCTCATGCGCATCCCACAAATGCACACCACCACTTCATCCCAGCAGCTTCTCATGCACCTTAACACAGAGAAACAAATTTGAAAAAAGATATGTTATTCACTCATCTACTCACTTCATAGGCACATGCTTCAGAAACACACCCATCATGGCACCAATGCTTTCACACAGATGCACTAACATTCTGACTCACATCTTCTGGCACCACACAAGTGCACAAGTTCATGCGTGTGCGCGCGCACACACACAAACACACACACACTCTTGTGCACACCAAGGGGTATATCAGATGCAGTTATCTCTTGATAAGTTCTTGGAACTCAGCCATGCCATTGTTTTTCATATTTTGACTGCTGGCTGTCCAGCTGACAATCATGCACCTGGCCAAGATTGGATCCTGAAGGGTGATGGATAACACATATGGATCAGGGATCAGAGTGCCAGAAATATAAGATGATCCAAAGGCCCCCAGGACAAAGTGGTGATAAATAGCATCATCTAACCACCACTCCCAATCCCCCATCCTAAGAGCCCTGAGCTCTCACCTTGAGGAAAAGTCAACCAGTTTTGCTAGTGACCTTTGCAAGGTCAAACCTGGGTCTTTGGTCACCAATAGCTATCGCAGCTCCCAGAAGGAAGGCTGCAAGCACAGGAGGTCATTCTTTTTCTTTTCTTTTTTCTTTTTGTTAATCCTCACCCAAGGATATTATTTTTCCATTGATTTTTAGAGAGGGTGGAAGGGAGGGGAAGAGACAGAGAGAAACATTGATGTGAGAGAGACACATCAATTGATTGCCTCTGGTACACGCCCCGCTTAGGGCTGGGGATCAAGCCTGCAACCAAACTGAGTAGGGCTGGGTCCCAGGGAGAGAAGACTCTTGATGGAAAATGCCAGGTTCCCAGTGACTTTTCTAGTTCTAAAACGCTAATATTTCTCATATGGAGGTTCACAGATTTTCACAGGGTTTTCCATTTCAAGGCCATTTTGGTTTTTTATGGGGTTTGATGTTCTCTGCACAAATATAGGTTTAATAATTAACAGAGTGCCAGGCTGCCCACTTTGGCACTCCTAGCCCTGTCAAGCAGGACAGTGAGGCCACTCAGCTCATATGGCCCGAAAAGCCAGGACACTCTGCTCCCTGGCACAGAGACCTTGCCAATTGCAGGAAGTTGGGAAATAAAAGAAATGTTTCAAATAAAAAGATGTCAATTTCACAGGGACCTGGAAACAGATGTTCCTCGCAGAGCCCCAGAGCCGCCCACCCGCCCGCCCATCCGTCCTCCGGGTTTTCAAAGTCACTTCTTGTCAGGTGCCCTGGTTAAGAGGGAGAATTAATGAGCTGTGCTCCATTTTACGGCTGCCGTCTGATGTGGGAGCCCTGTGCGGAGCGCTGGGCGGACTGGCCAGCCTGGCCCCCAGCCCTTCCTCCAGCAGCTCAGCCGGGATCAAAGAGGAGAGCAGCTCAGCTTTTATAGCAAAATGATTAAAACCACGTGGGGCTTGTTTCCTCACACGTGACCTCCTGACAAAGTGCAGAGGGGGGGGCAGAGGAAAGGTGAACCCAGGGGTCTCCAGGCTCAGGGAAGAGTAGGACCCCAGATGCAGACACTATAGAAAATAAGCACAGACAAGCGCGTGCACATGCGCGCACACTCATAGTGCCTCTTCCCTGAAAGTTGAAACCCAGCTCGAGAATGAGCACTTGGAGAGTCTAATTAGCCAGGTTAGCTAGGACCACAGAGAGATAGGTAGATAGGTATATAGACAGATGATAGATCAGTGATGGTGAACCTATGACACGTGTGTCAGAGGTGACACGCGAACTCATTTTTTTGGTTGATTTTTCTTTGTTAAATGGCATTTAAATTTATAAAATAAATATCAAAAATATAAGTCTTTGTTTTGCTATGGTTGCAAATATCAAACAAGTTCTATATGTGACACGGCACCAGAGTTAAGTTAGGGTTTTTCAAAATGCTGACACGCCGAGCTCAAAAAGTTCGCCATCACTGTGATAGATAGAAAGATGATAGCTAGATAGCAAGTTATTTGATTAGTTCTAGTCCTTGTAGAAAAGTACAACTGCATTGTATGACAAACTACGTCTCAAATGTCCCTGCTGCATCTGGACAAATAATTTCTCATACCTCCGTACTCTCTGGCAACTCTGCCATACCTGCAAATCACAGCTTGCTGGTGGTAAGCGACCGCACCTCTGTTCTCCCAGGTGATTCCCCTCCCATGGTATTCTTGTGTCATCTTCTTCTCCCCCAGTGAGAATTGAATTTGGTGACTTGTTTCTAGAGAAAGGAATGAAGCAGAGCTCATGAGATATCACTTCCAAGATTATATCATTAAATGATCGTGCTTGCCCTGGCCAGGTATGATCCAACTGATTGGGCATCATCCCATGCACTGAAATGTTGCCAGTTCGATTTCCCGTCAGAGCACAAGCCCAGGTTGCAGCTTGATGCCTGGTGAGCAGTATGCAGAATGTAGCCAATCAATGTTTCCTCCCAGATTGATGTTTCTCTCTCTCCCTCTCCCTCTCCCTTCCTCTCTTTCTCAAAGATGTTAAAAAAAAAAAAAAAAAAAAAAAAAAGACAGTGACTTTCTTCTCAGATATATCTTGTTGTGAAGGAGGTCATCTTCCATGTTGTGAGCTGAACTATGAGAGACCCACAAGGCAGAGAACTGAAAGACAACTCTCACCAGCAGCCTTGAGGAACTGAGCCCTGCCAACAGCCACAAGCGAGTTTAGAAGCAGACCCTCCCCCAGTCGAGCGTTGAGATACCTGCAGCCGCAGTCAACACCTTGATTATAGCCATCTGAGGTACCTAAGCTGGGCCCAGATTCCCGACCCACAAAACCTGTGGGATAATAAGTACTTATTGTTTTAAGTTGCTAAGTTCTGGGATAGTTTGTGAGGCAGCCGTAGATAACTCATGCACCTACACACCTGAGAATCACGGCTCCTTCAGCCTCTTTTCTTCTCCTGAGATAGCCCTGTGCACCCAGGCATGATTTACAGCGATCTTTAAGTGGAGCATCTACCATCAGCCCCACCGCTGCCTTTACCACTCTGAGCTCCTCCCAGCCACCCCAGCCTCCTAGCTATGTCTTGAGAACACCAGGAATGCAACCACCTCAGGACCTTCGTACCTCCCCAAGGCTTCCCTCCTCCTTCAAGACTTTGCTTGAACATCACCCATTCAGCAATGCTCTTCGCGACCACTCTACCTGAAAAGGAAATCCCTTCTGCTCCATCCATGATGCTCCCTATCTCCCTTCCCTGCTTGGTTTTTGGCAGAGCCCTTATCAACATCTAGCTTACAATATATCTTATTAATTTCGTTTCTTATTTGACCCCACTCCCAAACCAAAGGACAGAAATTTGAGGATTTTTGTCTATTTTGTTCACTGCTCCATTCCTAGTGTCTAGCCTGGCACATTGTAGGCATCCAACAAGTATTCACTGAATAAATTAACAAATGGATTTATAGAGCTCCCATTTTCTAAACACCTACTATTACATACCAAGTACATATTGTCAATAATTCTCATAACATGGTCATTAATCCTGATAACTCTACAAGGTTGACATTATTTCTCATTTTACAGAATTTAAAAGCTGAGACCAGGGAATGCTCTGTTATTTAAGGTCCCACGGCTAATTCATAGAAGTGATGGGATCTGAGACTCCTCCATTTTTTTACTTAAATTAAATTTATCGGTGTGGCATTGGTTAATTACATTATTTAATTTTTAGGTGTACAAGATTACAGTTTGACATCTGCACACCTACATTCTTATCTCTACACTTTTTCTATTGCCTTGGGTACTCTTTACAGTGAAAGTCCTGTCCAAAGCAATGACCTCATCTACCCTTCACAATAACCCTGTGAAAGAGCAATTGTAATTATTATGTCCATTTTGACAGAGATGGGAATCAAAGCTCAGAGAGGTGAAGGCGTTTGCCCTGGTTGGCACAGCTGGTAAACAGCAGAGCCAGAATTTCCTTGGCTCATTCAAAAGACATTGTCTGAGCAGCTCCCAGGTGCCAGGCACCATGAATAATAGAACATAGGTCCCCACTCAAGTCCTCAGGTTCCCCTCTCTCCCCAGTCCTATGGGGTTTCATGCTGGCAACCGTGGTGTGCTGAGTGCTCATTCAGGTTAAATGTGGATCTGGTAGATGTTACCTTCTACAGGTCAGACATGGCTTGAGAGAGGCCTGAAGGGAGATGACAAGTGAGGGCTGAGGTCTTTGGGAAGAGACTCAGAAGCTATTACAGAGAAGGGTTTTTTAAAAAAAACCCTTTAAGCAAGAGAAAGTGAAGGTATGGGAACTTTTTTAAATCCCTTTTTATCCCCATGCCTCACTCCCACCCGCCCACAGGCAACCATCTTAATGTGCTCGATGTGTATAAACCTTTTGGGTTGTTTGTGCTTTTGCAAAGTGCTTATCTTTCTTTCGTATAAAAGTATATGCAAATAGTGTTATGCTGTATATCTCCTTTTGCTTTTTACTAGTCCACTCAGCATTATGTTTTAAAGTGCCATGCATGTTATTGAGTGTACATATCATCAGTTGTTTCCAGATGTTGCATAATACTACCCCATGTAACCCATCCACTCCTCCAGATGCTCACCACCACCACCACCACAATGCTGCGATGCACATCGCCACATCCTTCTGGTCCTGTGTGAGTGAGACTGCTGGTACTAAGGGTACAAATAGCTTTAATTCAGTGCCTGATTACTATCCTGATACACTCCCATTGGCAGAGCATGCACATTATTATACCCTTATATCCTAGCCAACACTTGGTGTTATCCAGCCTTCTAATGTTTGTCAATCCAATAGTTGTAAAGTGATATCTCAGAGTTTCTTAATTTATATCTCTCTGTTTAGTAATTTACATCTCTCTGATCATTAATATTATTCAGCATATGCAGTAACTCTACATATGCTTGTTGGTGTTTAGTTTCTCTTGAGTGAGCTAATCGGATTTGAAGTGGAAGAGAGAAGATTAGTCTCAACTCGCCCATGTTCCTGAAAAAGGGGGAAGGATTTGGCAGTTCACCAGGCATAGAAGCCAGGGATGCTCCAGCAATACTTCCAAGTGGAAAAGGCTTCAAGGTGAACAGTTGGGGCCTGAACTATGAGGTTTTCCTTGAAAACGATTTTTTCCCCAAAAAAACACAGGACAGAACATGGAAAACAGATGACTCCGAAGGGGAAAATGGAGTTAGCCAACAAGATAGAATTGAGGTTCAACCTGTCAAAAGCTATTTCCTGAAAACTGAAATAAATTGGATACTATTAAAAGAAAGAATTTCTGTTCTTCAAAAGACACAAGAAACTGGAGAGGCAATCCACAATGTGGGAAAAGATATTTACAGAATATATATATATATATATATATATATATATATATATATATATGGCAAAGGACTCGGATCCAGAGTATATAAAGAACTTCAAATTTATAAAAAAAAAAAAAAGACAAGCTACTCAATAGCAATATAGGCAAAAGACTTGAACAAACACTTCACAAAAGAGGCCAGTCACCATACGAAAACATGCTCAACTTCTTTAGGAATCATAAATACAAATGGAAACATCAGAGAAATAGCACCACGCTCCCACCAGAAAGGCTAAAATGAAAAAGACAATACCAAATGTTGGGTGGAATATAAATTGACACATCCTCTTTGGAAAACTATTCAGGGAAATCTACAGCTACCCTCTGGGTAAGCATATCCTTTGACCCAACAATTCCATCCTAGGCATATATCCAACAGAACAGCATTCACCAAAACACATGTACATAGAAACTATCCAAACACCCATCAACAATAGAATAGGTAAGTGTGGTATATTCACATACTGAAATACTACACTGCAATGAAAATGAAAGAACTAGTACTGCACGCAACAATATAGTGAATTTCACAAACATGATGCTAGCGGAAAGTCGCCAAATACAAAAAGAGTACCTATACCTATTTATATACATCTGTATAAAGTACAAAAACAGGTGGAACTAATCTGTGGTGAGGTGAAGACTGTGGTGAAGTCAAGACCTTGAGCTGATATCAACTGGGAAGGGCATGGGGAACGGGACTTCTGGAGTGGGGGAATGTGCTGTTTCTTGGTCACGGAGCTGGTTACACGGACGTGTTCACTCAGAAATTTCACCACGCTATCTGCTTATGCTTGGTATGTGTGTATATATAAATGTCACGCCTCAATAAAAAGTTCAAAAAATATTTCTCGGGTACCTATTGCCTCGCCCCAGCCCCATACAGACAAATAAGGAGTAGGAGATGGCAGAGAACAAGTGCATACACAGCCATGAAATACATGCCTCATGAGAGTCCAGGGAGAACAAGATAGGAGTGTCTCGGATGTGGGCAGGGCTTTTTCAAGAACCAAGCACTTCTATGTGGACTCTACAAAAACCAAATAAAGGAACAAACAGAACAAACTAGCTCATAGATACAGAGAACATGTTGATGGTTGCCAGATGGGAGTGGGTTGGTGGGGGTGAAAAGGGGAAGGGATTGAGATGTACAAATTGCCAGTTATAAAAACAGTCATGGGGACATAGAGTACAGCATAGGGAATATAGTGAACAATACTGAAATCGCTGAGCATGGTGTCAGAGGGGCACTAGACTTAGCGGGGTGATCACTTCCTAAGTTATATAAATGTCTAATCACTATGTTGTACGCCTGAAACTAATACAATATTGTACGTCTACTATAGTTGAAAAAAAAAACTTTTTTAAAGAACCAAGCACTTTTTTTGTATTGTATCCTGCTCAGTGCCCTTTGCAGCTGACGGAACTGAGATCCCTAAAGCCAATGTGACTTGCCTAAGGCCACACTAAATCCCAGAGCTACATCTAGTTTCCTGGCTCAAGGATCTTCTCTCAGGCAACATTGCCAGCTCTATCTGAGCTGGAGCAATCCTGGGAGGCTCTCTGGAGGAGGAACAAATTACATGGGATGTTGAAGGATGGAGATGATTCATGAAAGCAAGAAAATGCCAGGTTGTGGGGAGTTCGGCTTCCCGCAGAGGAGCTGTCAGAGGTGCTCTTGGGAGATAGGCAGAAAGGACAGGCAGGGAAGTTCAGCCGGCACCCCCATCCCTCGCTTTCATGCCCCTTTTTAAAGCCCTAGGAGTCTGTCCTCCCAATAGCTCTCCATACCCCCAGATTTATTTTGCTTTCTTTCGCTAAATCAAACTTTATCAGACAGTTTTACTGTCAGCCATTAAACCAAAATGTGTTTGTGCAACAGTAAACACCTTGTTACTGCAGGGAAGGATTACATAAACAACAGCAGAGACAGGCCTGACTCACTGTACCCATGAGCCCCCAGGAGCTGAGTGGCCCTCAGTGGGGATGGAGGAGAGCCCTTCAGGGGCATCCTGGAGCCCAAGGCTGAGGGGAACAGTCCGGGGGCTTTGCTTTCACCAGAATGGAATGACTGGCAAATGTTCCTCCAGTCGGAGGTAGGGCGTGTCCTCTAGAGATCTCAGAAGGGTACTCAGGCCCTCACCGCAGCCCTGGGGGTGGGCAGGAAGAGGGAGAGGAAAATGCTAGGCAGGAGTGGGGTGGGTCTGGATTCGAATCTGGTGAGATAGGGCAGGCTGAGCGCTCCACAGGGATGGGGGGAAAGATGAAGCCTGGAAGGAGTAAAGAGAGGAGAAGGTTAGTTAGGATTGGGTTGAGGAGACGAAGAGTGTGGCAGTGGGGCTGACCGCTGGCCTGAGTTGTTCACCAACGAGTGGAGGGACTGGAGCTCCTTTTGAGGTAGATGGGAGCATGGAGGTTCAGACCAGCCTGGGATGAGTGCAGATAGAGACACCCGCTAGGCTGCCCTCTCCCTGGGTCTGCCCCACGTCTCAGGTGGATGGCCTACCCTCAGGGCACACTTCTCCCTCCCCTCATCCACAAGCCGGCCCTCTCCTCAGGGCTGCTTCCTGGGGCAGAGAGCTGTGTGATATCAGCCGTCTAGGGGAACTTGAAAGATAGGATCGAAGGAGGCCCCAGCACTGGATAGAATGCGGGAAATAGCAGGAGACAAGATAAACCGTTTACATTTTTGTCCTCACTGGGCACTGGGCACTGGGCTAGGAGCTTCTATACCACAGACACTATTTTGAGTCTCACACCTACACTTTGGAATAGAAATGATTATTATCCCCACACACCACACTGCCGGTTCGCGTTATCTGATTCCTCCTACACTACTCTACCCACAGTTATTTTATTGAACACTAATTATGGGGCAGGTACTCTGGCCAGAGTTTTTTCATTTCATCCTCACATCGGTGTACAAGGCAGGTCCTTTGATCATTCTCTTTTACAAAAGAGGAACGCAAGAGTCTGAGAGGCTGAGCCGCTTGGCTGGGGTCACACAACTCTAAGTGGCCGAGTCAGAATCAGAGCTCAGCCCTCTCTAGTGCCAGAGCCTGGGTTCTTCCTGCCTGTGTCTGTGCTGAGAAGAGGGCCTGGAGGGAGAGGCAGCATAATTGGGGGGAGGGAAGTGGAAGATGTGGTGCACACACAGAAGGACCCCACTGAAGAGAGAACAGCCATGGCTCATTCATGGCCGAAAGGAGTGGGGTGCTCCTGGGATGACTTGGCCGTAAACTTCTTCCTCAGAGACTAGATTCCCAGTGATGGCGAACCTATGACACGCGTGTCAGAGGTGACACGTGAACTCATTTTTTTTGGTTGATTTTTCTTTGTTAAATGGCATTTAAATATATAAAATAAATATCAAAAATATAAATCTTTGTTTTACTAAGGTTGCAAATATCAAAAAATTTCTATATGTGACACAGCACGAGAGTTAAGTTAGGGTTTTTCAAAATGCTGACCCGCCGAGCTCAAAAGGTTCGCCATCACTGGACTAGAACATGCCCTCCAGAGTCCTAGAAGCCACTAGCCCAGCGGTTCTCAACCTGTGGGTCGCGACCCCTTTGGGGGTCGAACGACCCTTTCACAGGGGTCGCCTAAGACCATCCTGCGTATCAGATATTTACATTACGATTCATAGCAGTAGCAACATTACAGTGATGAAGTAGCAACGAAAATAATTTTATGGTTGGGTCACAACATGAGGAACTGTATTTAAAGGGCCAGAAGGTTGAGAACCAGTGCTCCAGGGTTTGAGTCCATCAGGCACTAGCCTGTTTCCTGAACTCCCGGCCTGAGGCATTTTAGCCCTAAATGCTCTCTTCCTCTTCCCTCCAAGGCCCAGATCCCAAGCAGCCCCTCAGCCCTGCCTTTGGCCTTCTCCCAGGTATCTATCTGCCCATCACCACCATCCCATCCGTAACTACCCTCTACCACACACTGGCCCCATCAGCCAGGCCACAGGTTACTGTGATCACTCAGAGCCTTAGGTCACTAGGGCTCAGAGTAAAAATTAGAAACTATGTAAGTAAGGAACAATTCCTCAAGCACCTGCCACATGTCACACATTGTACTAGACACATATCCCCTGGGAGGCCTCATTTCATTTAATTCTTAATATCAACCTACGAGGTGAAGATTGAGGCTTAGAGAGCAGGCCCTGTCCAAGGACGCAGAGCAAGTGAGAAGCAGAGCTGCGGAGCTCCAAGCCTTCCCGGCGGTGCCACCCGCCGCCCGCCGCCCCCCTGCCAGGCAGTGTGATGCTGAGCTAGGGATGTGTGTGTGCGTTTAGTCACACAGATTTGTCAGTGAGAAAAGTGTTCCAATTGTAGATGACATCAAGGAGGTCCTCCCATGAACTATCATTTAAAGTCCCTCTTTTGGAAAAAAAAAAAATTTTCTAAAAGGGAAAGTATAATTAGAGGCCATCCATGCTGTCTCCGTGGAGCCTGCCACGCCTCCCCACCATCCACCACCGTCTGAGACAGAACTGAAGGGACGCCATCACGTCTGTGAAGTGAAGGATGCTGGGATGCCTGCCAGCCACCCAGGCTCTCTCATAATCCCATTCCCATTGCATTTAGTGGCTTTTTTTCTAATGCTTTATGGCAGTCTAATTTACATAGTGAAAGTGCAAAAATTGTTAAGTAGATAGCTTGATGAATTTTCACAAATCAAACACACCCACATAACCAACATTCCCAGCATCCCAGAAACCCCTCTGCTGTCCCCTTGGAGTAACTCCCCCACCCCACCCCCCAAGGGCTGACTTCCAACACCTCTGATTAGTTTTACCCATTTTAAAACTTCATATAAATGGAATCAAATGGTATGTGTTCTTCTGTCTGGCCTCTTTGTTCAATATTATGCTTGTGAGTCTTCCATATTTCTCCATGTACCCAATTGCAGTTCATTCACTCACATTGCTGTATAGTATTCCTTTGTGGAAACTGTGCCACGATTTACCTGTTCTGGGCATTTGATTAGTTTCCAATCACTTAAAGGTTTTTAGTGTCATGATTTTGGATGGCTAGAGGTCAGGCTCTCCAAGAGACTGTAAAAAGTAGTAAGGTCATGTTTCATTACTGATGGATTTTTTAAAACAAGGATGGTGAAGATGTCTCTTCTCTGAAGTTAAAGCATCACAATCAATTTGTGTGATATTTTCAGCTCTACCTAAAGTCCTAGAGAAATAATATCTAACAAAGTCACTCGAAGCCAATACATGGGTGAATTCTACAAGCATCCCACTGAATCCCTTAGAACCATTACAATTCCAAAAAGGCGTTGAGCTATCACAGCAGCAAAATTTTGATGAGGGAGCATGATAACAAAAAGCTTTGCCTAAAATGTCCCCTGTGGAGAAGGGCTGGGGGAGACCCTTTCAGCTGGCAAGTGCTTGGCACTTTTTCCCCAAAAGAATGGGAGACACAAACATGACTTAGTAATTTCCCTTGCCATGAATTTCTCTACTTCTCAGTTGCCATAAATTAAAGTACTTATATTAGTGAAAACGCCTGAGAACTCACAGGACCCCAAAGTATCACTAAAATGTTAATGGTTGCTCCAGACATTTTTTATAAAAAACTACCTTTCCACCACAGGGGCTGACATTTTTAATTGCTAATGAGATGCTGAAAGCAATGGAAGAGAAGCTGGAGATGAGGCTGGGCTGTGGTAAGGGCTCAAATTACACATTGTAGATGACATCAAGGAGGCTGAAAGTGAAAATTTGGGCTCACTTACCTGTGATTATGGGCCAATTGCTACATGTTAAAAACAAAAGTAAATTTTTCAAATACATTTTAAACGTCTTCAAATTAGTTTATTAGGCAAAAATATGTTTCCCCTCTTTGTTTAAATCAAGGTAATCTTTCAGGTGTAGATTCAGTCTTCTGAAAGCTTGTCACAGAAGGGCCCAAGCCACTTTTTAATTTTCTCTATTTAATTAAAAATGATATCCAAGATGTTACCACTGGGGGAAACTGGAGGCAAGATACATGAGTTCTTGCACGTTTTTCTGCAACTTCCTGTGAATCGATAATTATTCCAAAAGCTTAAAAATAATAACATAAAAATAGCAAATAGCCTGTTAGGTGGAAGATGATGCGTTTAACGGCTTCAGGCGTCATCTGCGTGCTCAGATGGCATTTGGGAGACATTGAGATAAGTTTGTTATCATTCCAGAGGGCAATAGAGAAATATCGCCTCCAAAAATGACTCCAAATTGCAGACATTTGCAGCCACTCAAGACTTAGAGTTTATAAACGTCTACTTTCCTCCCATTTGGAACTTTTGGTGGGGAGATAAAAAGCCTTTTGGAAACTTTTCTCCCCCAAAATGATTACACTGAACAGCTTGGCCTTGTTCTGCATTCTATGTGCACTTTGGTTCAATTTACATCTGGGAGTATATATTTTTTTTCTTCCATAACTACATTTTAAAGACAAGTTTGGAGTTGGGTTAACAATTGTTCATTTAGGCAGTCCCAGTTTGTAACTGACAAGAAAAAAAATCTCTAAATATTGAAAATTTGCTACAAATTGTCGAAAACAGTATTATCTTTTTTGTTCGGGGACCACTAGCAGGTCCCTAGAGATCCCTCAGAGTCCCAGAGGCAATGCCTCCACTTTAGCCCCTCGGTACGAGTCTCCTGTGCCACTTGTGTGCTAGGCACGGTCAAGACAGTACTTACCTTGAGAGACCATGTTCAAGTTCTGGCCCCTGCCTTCCAGGACAATGGGATGTTCTTCTACTGATCTCTCGGCAGCAGACTCAGGTTAGCAGGAGCTTCTATGGAAACAAGAGTTTCAATTTATCACATTAATATGGGATTGACCGCCCACCCCCTCACCAGGGAAGAGAATACTAAATCCCCAACTAAAACGGTTAAGAGTTGAGGACCTGAGAGTCTAGGTTTGAATTTCAGCTCTCTCACTATGTGACCTTGGGCAACTTAATTAACTTCTCTGGGCTTCACTTCTATCATCTGTAATATCTGGAAAATAACAGCAACATACATCATGGGTTATCAAGAAGATTAAATGAGATAATGTATGTAAAGGGTTTAGAAGAATGTTCTCTATTATTGTTCTCTAAATGCTGAGAAAGTGTTCTCTATTACTATTAATTGAATTGTTCATCAGAAGGCTGCTTGGCGAGCCCAGAATCAGAGCAAAGGGCAGCGGAGGTGATGGTTCCCCTTTAGTTCAGGAGACATCAGTGACATATCCCTGCCCCACTTCAGCCCTGAAACAATAGGCACCCTCTAGTCATCAGGCTGCTCATGCCTTTCGCATCCTCTATTTCCCTGCCCTGGGCCAAGCTGGGGAAGCGTGACACATCTTGCTTCCTAAACCCCTTTTTCTATGTGAACCGCCTCTTGCCTACTGCCCCATTTCCCCTCTGTTTAAAGTGCAGTATGATTGTTCTTTCCACAATCCTAGCAGATATCCTCCCCCCACTCCCTCCCTGCCGGGTGTTGATTCAATTAGAACCACTCTCCAAGCTCTGCCTGGGCCGCCCAAGGTCAGAGCCCATGTGCAGAAATCACATTACCTTCCCGATGAATCACAACCCATCATTTCTTATTGGTGTCAGCAAGATTTAAATCTTTCAATAAGAGCTACACATGCATTTTACAGTTGCATAGTTCCTGCTCTATTTTTTTTTAAGCGTAATTAAGTTTAGGGCACATGTAATTTTATTTTAGTTTCCTCTGTTTTATTTGCTTCTCACAGTGGATTCTATATATGTTTGTGTATTTTTTAACATGACAAGTAAACATGCTGAGGTAGTCCGGGTCAACTCCTTTGATCTCAGCTTTCTTGCTTCACTGAAAGTCGACTACTTCCATTCTGAGCATCATGTTTTCAGATGACTGGCTTTGGCAATCTGCTGGCCCTGGAACATAACTGTTGATTTGCCATTTTCCCTCTGAATGCCAAAAGTACCTTATGTTCAATATATCTAAGGCTAACTCATAATCTTACCCCCCCAAAACTAGGTCTTCTTCCAAGATGCCCCATCTGAATGATGGCACCTCCATCAAAAGTGGCAACTGAGTAGTCTTGAAGAAGGGGAGAGTGAGACAAGCCTGGAACCTAGAGGTCATTCCTTTTTTTAAAAAATATATTTTATTGATTTTTTACAGAGAGGAAGGGAGAGGGATAGAGAGTTAGAAACATCCACGAGAGAGAAACATCGATCAGCCGCCTCCTGCACACCCCCCACTGGGGATATGCCTGCAACCAAGGTACATGCCCTTGACCGGAATCGAACCCGGGACTCTTCAGTCCACAGGCCGACGCTCTAGCCACTGAGCCAAACTGGTCAGGGCAAGAGGTCATTCTTGATGCCTTGCCAGCCACATGATATCCATCTTCTAGATTTTAGTTTCTGAAAATCCCCTGAATCCATCCACTTCTCTCTATCTCAAAGGCCTCAACCCTAGTCAAAGCCATTTTTGTTTCTGAGTTAAATTGTAACAATGGCCTCCTGACTGGTCACCCTGTGTTCCTTTGTGATGCTCCATTCTCTTACTGACCATTATTGTCCTCCAGGTTGTCCAGCTGTGGTTTCTAATCTTGGTGCACATCAAATCACCCTGCATCCTTGTTAAAATGCACATCCACCTGGGGGGATTCTAATCCATTTGGTTTGGAGTAGGATCTGTGTATTTAATACATGCCCCAGAATTATTCTGATGTAGCTGGTCTGTGAATTAGCCTTCAGGAATCATCGGCTACAGCTCACCAGGAACATACCGGGCCCATTTTAGAGATGGCCAAATATGTTTCCTAAATGAATCATGAATGAGCACCATCCGACAAATATTTACTGGTTCCCAGTGTGTGGAGACTGTTTAGGCAGGAGGGATACAGTAGTCAATAAAATGGACAAAAGTCCCTCTTTTCGTGGAGCTTATATTCTGGTAGTAGGAGACAAATAAAACAAAAAAAGTAAAGTAAAATATTAGAAATGTTAGATGACAAAAAGTGCTATGGAGAAAAAATAAAACAAGTTAAAGGATGGGAAATAGAGCTGAGGGGGGAGGGGCAGGTTGCCATACAGATAGGATGGTCAGGGAAAACCTCGCTGAGAAAGTGGCTATTGAGTAAAGACTTGAGAAAGGGGAGAGAGAGCCACTCAGATAACAATAGAAAAGGCTTTCGAAGATGAACTCTAGAAGGATGAAACACAGTTCCTGTGGGAAGTCAGAACCTCATTCTTCTACCATCCTTCACTAGTCTCTCTGGAACTGCCTTCAGGTACAGGGGAGTGATCACAAGATACAGTAATAATAATAACACCTGTCACCTGTCAGATGTACACTATATGCCAGGAATGACACCAACTCCTTTACGTGCAATACTCCATTGTCTCATTTAATCCTCACATCGGCTCTGTGTTATAGAATGGTTCCATACCCAGTCAGAGCATATGCTGGGGTTTCCGAGCTCGATTCCCAGTAGGGGGCATGCAGGAGGCAGCTGATCAATGATGTTCCCCTCTCACCAACATTTCTATCTCTCTATCCCTCTTCCTTCTAATCTCTCTCTAAAAATCAATAAAAGCCTATTAAAAAAAATAATAATAAGGTGTCCAGTGTCTTGCCCAAGGTTTCCCAGCTTGTAAGGATTCAAATCCAGGGACTGTGACACCAGACCCCAGATGTTGAACTTCTGTTTCTGAGTCAACTGAGCAGTAATTTCAATGGGACCCAACTCCTGGGTGGGGAAAGTGGGGAGAGCAAGTGAAAAAGAGAGGAGGACGGATGGCCTGGGCCAGAAGCAAGACCTGCTTATGAAGAGAGATGGCAGGTCAGAGGTCCAGGACTTCAGAACACCTCCTCTCACCCCCCCCCCCCCAATTCCCTCGGGAACTGAGGGGCTCCTTGGCAAAGCTCTGCCCCAGAGCAGAGGAAATAAGGCAGAGGACCCTCTGAAGCAATGTGAGGAGGGTAGCCACACTTGAAACTGTACTGAGCAGGGATCCAGGAATCAAGAGGTGCTGAGGGAGACGTGTCTCCTGAGTTGGGCACAAATGGACCGAGGGCTGCTTAACCCTCTGGGGCTGACCACTGGCCAGGGCCACCTCATTGCACAGTCCCAGGGTCACCATTCACACTAGGCTGCAAGAGGCACTTTTTCCGCTGGGTGAGCAGAACTGAAGGAAGTGTATTTGGTTCCTGTGTTCACATGGCTCTTACCCACCCACAGTTTCCTTCTGCACAGCAGCTAACTGTCCTCCACCCGCCTCCTATCCTACATGCTCCCCACCCCCTAGAGAGCCTTCCTTCCATGGGATTTTTCCCCCACCTGAATAACAGAATTTTACTACAGGGCCTGGGTCAAGGGATAAAAGACGCGGGAAAGGTGGAGAGGTGAGGGGTCCAGAGTGAGCTCAGGCAGGGCCTCTAATTCTGGAAGCTCTGGAGAAACTTGACACCAAGGCCAGGTCCTGAGCCAGGGGAGGGGAGGGAGTAAACCATCTTCCCGGAGCAGGAAGTGAGGGAGAGAGTGAGAGTGGGCTGGGGAAGCGCTCTGTTTTCTTTGGCCTCTGCCAGCCCAGGGAGGGAGAGGGAGAGGGGCCAGAGGGAGGAGGATGGGGCTGGTGGAAAGATCCGGCCTTTGTGTCCTACCCTCCCCCAGGAGGTGGAGGCTGGAAGAAGGTTGGGGATGGGGGGGGCGCGGGGGAGGGCGCGGAGGCCAGGCCACAGTTTCTCTCGGCCTGCTCCCTGTTAGATGTGCCAGGGGGCTGGGGCCACAGGTGAGAATGTGGGGTGTAGTGAGGAGTGGGAGAGGGCTGGAGGTAGGAGGACAGAGCATAACAGTGTTGGAGGGATGGGACTAGCCCAAAAGCAAAACCCAAGACTCTGGGAGGTGCCACATTCTCTTTAGCCTTAGTCTCCAAGCCACCCCCCAAAAGGCCTTAACCTCCTGCACTGCTCACTTCAGCAAACAGGTGGAGGTCATCCTGGGAACAGCTCCAGGCCGAGGCAGGCCAGGCACCCCATCAGGAAGCTGGTCTTGCAGAGCCCCATTGTCTCTCGAGTTTATGCTGGGATGTAGTCAGATGTAGTCATTCTACTCCTAAGAGAAAGACTTCCTTAAAAACAACTCCATCCCTAATCCTAATTCTCCCAACTGTCATCCTAATCCCAAAATCCATCCCTCACAAGAACCCCAAACCAGTCACAACCCAAACACGATTTAAAATTGTTGAATTTAACCCCATACCTTTATCCTCATCCCAAACTTTACCACAGCCCAGCTCCAGACTCACCCTGAGTTACGTACATCACAAGCCTGACTGCACTAGGTTGTCTGTTGTGGGGTGGGAATTAACAAACAGGAAGAGTTCATGTGCATTGAGCCATTAGGAGGTGTTAGGCACTGTAATGGACTTTTCCCATTTATTGCTGTATTAATACCAACCCTATGAGTTAGGCATTACTATTACTACCATCTTATAGAGGAGAAAACCGAGGCTCAGGAAGATTAGGCTAGTTACTCTGAGAAAGTGCCCCCAGCCCTGGATGTGATGGGTAGAATCACTGTTCCCATCAGCAATATCTCACAGGGTGAGTGGAGCCTCCGCTGGGATCCCTTCTGTCCACATGGAGAACGTATGGCTGCTCTAGAGGCCAAACCAAGTTCCGTCATTTGAGATCCAGATGGGGTCTCTGCTCAGATATGAGTGAGAGTTGACTCTGAGGTCTCAAAGCCTAGAAACCTACTGCAGAGTGATGTGAGAATCATAGCATAGGTGGAAAGGATCTGATTTAGGAA